AAAGTTAATATACCCTCCATAGAATGGTAGAGGGTATAAAAATGTGACAAACTGGACATGGTCTGTGCATCTTTTGGCATGGTTCCCACGTTCTAAAGAGTTAAAGAATAAACTTACTGAAAATAATTTGGGCCTTCTGGTAGAGCCCCCCTGTAAAGGTACCTCCAAAAGAAGAAGTGTTCTTTATACACATCCATTCCAAGTTTTATTATTTTCACATTTTTTGTAAACAAACTAAAATAAGAATTCAATATAAGTTATTAATGGATATTTATAAATTCCAGTGATATTCAAGTAAATCAAATACAGGTTTTAATAATATAGATTTATTATTGTTTATTAACGTTCGCTGTCCTGTTGTAAAAGGAACAGAGATCAGAAGAAGACGGTTAATAATATCTGTATTTGTATTAAAATATTATGTTCTGTGGGAGGAAGGTAGTACCATGGATATCTTTTTTAGCTCTTTAGCAGTTTCCATTTAATTTTTTTCGACATTAATTACATCTTTATCAATCTCTGTTATCTCCGCAGATAAGCTTAAACTTTTAAAGATCCTCTCGCAGTATTGCCGGCGTTTGAAGCTCCACTGCCTCCAACTTTTGGCTTATATAAAATTAAGCAATTGGGCATAATATACACATCTGACAAAATCTGAGAGTTAAATGAGAACTTTTAGAATCTTAGGACCATTACTAATAGCGTGAAAAAATCACATTGGAGGACTCAGGGGGGAAGACAATTAACAATTGAACTGAAATCCAATTTTATTGTCAAAATTAATATTTAAGGGCAACTCAGAACACGCACATCTTGTACACAACTACTAAAAACTCAAATTAAGTCAATACCTTGCTTTTCAATAATTATGCCATGACTTGTCATTTTGAAATGTATTTAATTTTGTAATACAGATCTATTTTTGCTCCACAAAGCAACTAACTACATTTTATTTTTTTATGTATTCTCGAAGTGGGCTGTTAGAATGAAGTCATTATTGTGTTTTCTAAAAAGCTTAACCCCTCCCTTAAGAGTTCATGTGCGCACATTTGACAATGAATATTCGATTTTCATTTTTTGAATTCTGGCCAATGGATGCGACGACTGTGCATTGCAAAGTTACCTTCCACATTTTTTGAAATGTTCGGATTAAGATCCCTTGAAATCCCTCGATTTAGGGGATATTGTTTTTTCGGCAATATTGAATTACAAGAATTATTTTTGTCGAAAATGTAATTTTACAAATGAGTCACGAAAGGGGTAGTTTTGGTCCTTTTTAAAAGTAAGGTTGAAAACTCCCTCTAAACGGCAATGTAGAAGAAGAGCATTGACCATACAAAGGGACTTCTATTGTATGAGATACATTTTGGTACAATTTGTCATATCGGCTCATGAAGAAATCAAATAATTTTCAGCCAAATCGATTGGAAAATATGCCTAAATCCGTTGCAATAACTAATGTCGGGGGCATCTTTATATAAGGGCTGCGCCATTGATAATATAACTACATAATGAGAACAATGCCAAAATATCCCAAATTTGAAATGGAAATTAGAAATGGAAAACATGACCAAAACGTAAAAAAAATTGAAATCGGAGTTATCCTTAACTAGAGGCTATTCTAAAAAGTGGACAGTGAAATTATAAGAAAACTTGAAGCGAATAGGTAAAAGTCCTGAACTTTTCAAAAATAAACAAGCTTTTTTTAGAAACATACGTTTTTGATATGTTATGTTTTGATATGTTTTGTAGTGTATAACAGCTGGCCCGGTCCCAATTGCCAGCCCGTAGTTTTAGTCTTTAATGTATTTTTGAAAGCACATAAGAGACACAATTTTAGGTTTTAATTTGAGAGTAAGCAACTTAAAAAATATAGCACATCTATATACAAGTATATATCAACTGTTTATATTAGCCCCATTTAAGAGTTCAGCTTAATTTTTAATATTGTAAAGAGCTTAGCAAAATTTTCCATTCAAATGACCTGTAGTTTGAAATTTGCAATGTTTAGAAGAAGATCCGTCTGTTTGTCCGTCAATCGCTTAAATCTTCGAAGAGGTTTTCTAACACCTTAGAGACAAAGATGCGAAATAGGTGTCAAATCAATTGAAACATGTGGCCAATACTCCGGAAGTAGCCGAAATCTTGGGTTATATATGAGGGCTATACCAAAAAGTGTGCCTATACTTATAATTCTTTAAAATAATGCTTTCTTCTTTCTAAAAACTCAAATTACCAAAATTTTTGGAAATTAGTTTGAAAATTATGGCTAAAATTAAAAAAAAAAACTTGAAATTATGGTAAAACCTTATGTGGCGGCTATCCCATAATATTGACTTACATTACCCATATATTGTACAAATGATTCTACACTTAATACATAGGACTGTAGCAAATGTAAAACTCTGTCGCAAATATAGAACAAAATATTTGAACCCCTTTGTGTTTGCTTAATGCCATATATAGTAGGCCCTAAAAAAGTTTAGCATGGGAACCCAAAACCCTTCTGGAATTTTGATCTACTAACCAATTATCCAATCCACTAAGAATTGCGCGACCCCCAGATTGGCTGTTGCACAATGTCATTATCTCTAATTGCGCATGGTCCGCCGTATAGCGCTACACGCAATAAAAGTATCTTGAATGTTTCAGAAGAATTTTCGGAGGATATAAATCGTTTTATTACTCTTTTTATTTCCGGTATTTCGCTGATTGCAGCCCCAATGAATTTTGCATTTTGGATTTCCATTGGAGGGATTATTGCAATATGTAGGAGGTAGGTTAACGCTTCGATATGGGCCCCATACAACTGTGTCGGCCATTTTTATACCCTCCACCATACATAGTATGGAGGGTATATTAAGTTCGTCATTCCGTTTGTAACTCATCGAAATAATCATTTTAGACCCAACAAAGTATATATATATATATATTCTTGATCAGCGTAAAATTCTAAGACGATTTAGCCATGTCCGTCCGTCTGTCCGTCTGTTGTAATCACGCTACAGTCAAAACGAATAAAGATAGGAAGCTAAAATTTTGCACAGCTCTTTTGTCTGCAGGTAGGTCAAGCTCGAAGATAGGCTATATCGGTCCACGATATCGTATATCCCCCATATAACGGTACCCCCCGATATTCGGTATTTCGATGATTTTAGCCACGTTTTTAAACGGAATTGTCTGAAATTCCACACAAGGAGTTCCTTGCGAGTACTTTATCCCCTGAAAGAGAATGGTCTATATATAGGTCCACGATATCGTATATCCCCCATATAACGGTACCCCCCGATATTCGGTATTTTGATGATTTTACCCACATTTTTTAATGGAATTGTATGAAAATCCACACAAGGAGTTCCTTGTGGATACTTTATCCCTTGGTAGAGCATTATCTACATATGTCTACGACAGCGTATATCCCCCATATAACGGTACACCCCGATATTCGGTATTTTGATGATTTTAGATACATTTTTCAACGGAACTGTCTGAAAATCCACACAAGGAGTTCCTTGTGGATACTTTATCCCTTGGTAGAGCATTATATATATATGTCCACGACATCGTATAGCCCCCATATAACGGTACCCCCCGATATGCGGTATTTTTATGATTTTAGCCACATTTTTCAACGGAACTGTCTGAAAATCCACACAAGGAGTTCCTTGTGGATACTTTATCCCTTGGAAGAGCATTATCTATATATGTCCACGACATCGTATATCCCCCATATAACGGTACCCCCCGATATTCGGTATTTCGATGATTTTAGCCACATTTTTAAACGGAATTGTCTGAAATTCCACACAAGGAGTTCCTTGCGAGTACTTTATCCCCTGAAAGAGAATGGTCTATATATAGGTCCACGATATCGTATATCCCCCATATAACGGTACCCCCCGATATTCGGTATTTTGATGATTTTAGATACATTTTTCAACGGAACTGTCTGAAAATCCACACAAGGAGTTCCTTGTGGATACTTTATCCCTTGGAAGAGCATTATCTATATATGTCCACGACATCGTATATCCCCCATATAACGGTACCCCCCGATATTCCGTATTTTGATGATTTTACCCACATTTTTCAACGGAATTGTCTGAAATTCTACACAAGGAGTTCTTTGTGAGTACTTTACCCCCAGATATAGATTTGTCTATATAGATCCACAATATAGTATATCCCCCATCTATCGGCACCTTTCGATATTAGGTATTTTAAAGATTTTAACTGAATTTTTAATGGATTTTTTTTTTTTTGAAAATATTCTAATTAGTTTCAAATGGTGGAGGGTATTCAAAGTTCGGCCCGGCCGAATTTACTGCTTTTTTACTTGTTGTTTATTTAGAATGCGTCCGCATCTTCCAGCTGAAGCACGATGTAGGTTCTAGGATTGGAAAGATAGATGCTAGTCGGGGAAGATCACATTTGACTTCGTATTGAGCACTAATTTAATTGTCTTCATCTTATTTTCAGAATTCAGAGTAATAAAACATATAGCATGTCAAATTGAAAAGGTTTCATGCGGTACTATAAAAACTATAAAAAACTACGAAATTTAAAAAAAAATATATGTCATAATGGTGTGAATTGTCAAAATCAGGCCTGCCATTCTTGAGTTATAAGCGGAGAGCTAACAAAACTTTCTTTTGTTTCGCCCGAAGGCTCACAATGAAATCTGATCTAGAACAATTCTTCGTTTGACACTTTCCACGAAAATTGAAGCATAATGGAAAGCATGACTTAGATTTGAATCGACAATTTAAATCTGAAGCACACAATTTTCGCTTGCAATATATAAATTTCGAATGTAATATATTAAAAGCTATTGTACGTGGATATATTGTTTATTCTGAGATTCATAGTAAAATTGTTGACACCTTTTACCTAAAACGACATTTTACTTTTAGGCGTGAACTCGAAAAAAAAGCCGAGGAAAAATTGATAAGAAAACAAGGATTTATTTTCGTGTATTTTTTTTAATGTTGATGCAAATATTTTTTTATATACAATGGAATTAGGGAAATTTGATGAAAAATATTTTTGTCTTCAATGTTAATCTTCTAGAACGATACTTTCTGGGATATTTTCTCACATAAACTATTTTGATTTTGTATGCATTCAAAATTTTATATACGAATAGTTTGAGGTTTTTAAATTAAAACAAACTTAAGAATATAATAAAAACGAATGTAATGTTTTTGCTTTTCCTTCAGGAGCGTAGACAAAGATATCGCTCGGTCTACCAACACGTGAACATGCCATGTACAGCTGACCAAGAGAAAAAAACAGGAACATGCCATACAAGAAGAGTTTGTCCTTGGGATTAATCAACTGTAATAGCAAATGCCAAACGTACAGGGAACTGCATTCTTTTAAAGTTTACCGGCATTTCTGTTGCTATTAGAAGGATTTAATGTAACAATGGTTAGGTTAGGTTACAGGATGTGTGGTTGTGTAAAAACAACCACTCCACTCGGAGACCTATTGGCCCATTGTGATCATCCTAATTTAGAAAAAATGAAAGTGAAAAAGTTAGGAGGTTAGAGCAGAATAGATAGGAAATAAAAGAGTTAGTGGGTTTGCATCCACGGTGTAGTCAGCGTGTCGTCCTTAGCCATTTTAGTCTTCTGGCTAACTGAAGAATAGCTACTGGCTCGGTTTCGGAGAGGCATGACAAATCGGGCAGAATTTGCTTACCTAGAAGCCTATGCCTTACTCCGATCAGGGTAGGACAGTGACAGAGTAAGTGTCCATCCCGTTCATTGATTCTGTTTTCCAACAGCTCTATGGCCATTCTGACAGCAAAAATCTCTGCCTGAAAAACACTACAGTCGCTGTTTAGTCTGAAAGATCGTTGGATACTTAAACTTTCACAGTAGACTCCAGCCCCCGATCCACTTTCCATCTTTGAACCATCAGTATAGGCAGCTATACCGTTAAAAGGTGGAGTGCCACGGGACCAGATATCCCTGTTTGGTATGCGGATGTCGAGTAATTCAAAGCTGTGCCTAGGGAGTATATAGTCACTAGCTAGCCTGATAACTTACGTTCTCCACATACTTAAGAATGACAGAGTGTCCGATGGATTGACTCCGCCATTGTCCCAGTTCATTGAGTCTCAGGGCACACCTAGCAGATAGTTCCTCTACAAATTAGCCTAGCGGCTTTAAATTAAGTAGGGTATCTAGAGCGGATTGTGGCGTGTTCCTGACCGCACCTGTAATTAGTAGCGATGCAACTCTTTGAACTTTATCAATATTCTTGCAGAGGGTGGTTTTCCTTAAGGAATGCCATCAAACAAGTCCCCCATATGTTAGGATTGGTCGGACGATTGACTCATATATCCATCGGATAATATGGGGTTTAAGCCCCCAACTCGCTCGCTCCTCGATATTCCTCTTCCAGCTTAGTTTCTGGTCTAGAATAGTACCGAGATATTTTGCTTCCAAAGAAAGGCTTAGAATTACACCGTCCAGCATTGGTAGAGAGAAGACAGGTATTTTCCGCCTCCTTGTAAAGAGTACGAGCTCAGTTTTGGATGGGTTCACGCCTTAACCATTGCCGCGCCCATCTGGATAGTTTAACTAGAGCTCCCTGCATTAGATCCGAAACAGTTTGCAGAAACTTCCCAGCAATCAGCAGGACCACATCGTCGGCGTAAGCCACGACCTTTGTTCCGCTGCGTTCCAGATCGAGTAAAATGCTGTTTATCACCAGAAGCCAAAGCAGTGTGACAAAACGCCTCCTTGTGGAGTACCCCTAGTGACCGTTTTCCTAACAGAACACTCCCCGATGCTTGAGTTGATGATTCTGCTGCTAAGCATAACATCAATCCAATCAATGAGAAGTGGTGGCACACTAAGTCTTTCGAGAGAACTATGAATTGCCTCAATTGTAATATTGTTGAAAGCCCCCTCGATATCGAGGAAGGCCGCCAACGTGAAACATGATCTGTTCAGGTTCTTCTCTATATAACCCACAACGTCATGTTGCGCTGATTCAACGGATTTGCGTTTCATATGGGCATGCTGAGCAGTGCTTAGCGATGTCAAGGGTATAGAGATCTGATCTCTATGTCTATTAGTCTCTCTAACGTTTTCAATAAAAAGGACGAGAGACTGATAGGCCTGTAGTCTTTTGGAAGTACATGGCTTGGCTTCCCAGCTTTGGGAATGTAAGTGACTGTTACTTCCCTCCACAATAATGGAATGTGAGAAAGACGCAAACAAGCCTTAAAAATCACTTCCAGGAATGGTATTATCATCGTCGACGCATGCTGTAGCATAGCGGTGAAAATGCCATCTGGACCCGGTGACTTGAAAGGTTTGAATGAGTTTATGGCCCACAAGATCTTGGGGGCGTTTACAATTCTATCAGCCAGACTTACGTCTTCCGTTCCACGATGCTGACTAGGCAGATCTACCAATCGGTCATATACCGCATCAGAGCAATTCGGAAAGTGAGTATTGGCTAGTAGATTGAGAGTCTCTAGACCTGAGTCAGTCCAGCTACCGTCAGCCCGCTTTATGCTTCCAATGGATTTTGGATCCTTTGAAAGTACTCTACCGTCGCGTTGACATCATCTATGGACTCGGTAAAACACACCCAAGACCGTCTTTTGGCCTTCTTGATCTCACTATTGTACTCAGTTTGGTCTTGTTGGCCCTGTTGTAGAAACGTCTGCTTGTCTTCCTGAGCTGGGCTAGGTCTTTTGACCACCATACAGGCTGGTGCCTTTTTCCCGGGAAGGTTAGCGGACAAGCTCTTTCATAGCTACCGATCAAGATCTTTGTTAACAACTTGACAGAGTCGTCCACATCCGATGCAGAAGCCACTGGAAGATCTCCAGTGGACTTTAGCTTCCATGCAGTGTGCTCTGCAAATTGGTTCCATCGAGCCTTTCTCGAGTTCCTATGCGGTTTTTAATGCAATCCCTCTACCGAAATTTGGAATGTTTTTTTTTCCGGTGATCCGAGAAGGAGCACTCAGTCGAAACTTTCCAGTTCAGTATGAGCGATTCATCCATGTTAGTGAGAGTGAGATCTATGACCTCCTCTCCATTCTTGTTACAAAGAGTTGCCTCCTTTCCCCGGTTACAAATTTTGAGATTATGTGTTAAAATAAAATCAAAAATGGACTCACCTCTGGCATTAGTGTTGCTGCTGCCCCATTGAGAGTGGTGAGCGTTGGCATCACATCCAACGATGAGACCGCCTTTTCCACCCAATTTTGTGACCAGCTCCTCTACCACTTGTCCTGGCGGGTCGGGGTATTCGAAGGGTAGGTACAAGGAGACGAGGAAGATGATTTTGCCCGTCCGAGTCTCCAGTCTGACCGCCGTGGCGTCTCCTCCGCTGAAATTATTGAGGAAGATTAAGTTCAAGTTTTTCCTAGCAACGATACACGTTCTAACCTTTTCCCCGTTGGAGGTGGCATAGGTGATGAACCGCTCACTCCCTAGTCCAGTTACCTTATTCTTAAAGATGTAAGGTTCCTGGACCAGGGCTATGTCAACTTCAAGCTTGGAGAGGGCTAGGAGAAGCTCAGCCCCTGCTGCCTTACAGTGATGCAGATTTATCTGCACGATGTTAAGCAGCTGTGGCTTCGTTCTTCCTACTGCGACAGCGGCGTTAGACGGAACCGAATCCATCCTGTGCCGAAGTGCAGTTTCCCCCCACGCGCCTGAAGGTGTTCCTGGCCAGCAGTATCAACAGATACCTTTATGACCAGGCCTCCTCCCTCCGTACTTGAGCAAACTAAGCGCCACCTGTCCGTACAGAGATTGGGATGTTTCCCCAATATTGTCAGCACGCGTGATGGGTCCACAGAGGGCGGCGGCACCCATGCTGCCAATATCCTCCTGCAGGGGATTTCCTTCAGGGATACAGCAGCAAGTGCACTTCCATCCCAAAGTCCTTGAAGGCCAGCTATTGCTGTCACAAGAAAGTTCTTCGACTCCTCATTTTCGCAGCAGATGACCTTCACTCCCTTGTAGACGGTAGCACTGCCAAATTGTAGCCTAGAGGGATCATCCCCTAGAAAAACCTGCTCCCTCAGACGGTCCTCAATGAGAAGCCACCGACTTTCGCTGATTTTGCCTTCCGGCTCAGCTTGGTCGATGACCGCTACACGGAGATTGTCCGGATATAGGGTTTGGGAATATTTCCTCTTCCTTGAATTCTGGCTCGAAGGTTGTGGGTTGGTGGTGGCAGACTTAGCCTTAGCAGACTTAGGATCCACTGAGGCTGTTTCTACCACCGAAAACGCAGTTGGCGGAGGAGGAAGTTTGCCCGTTGACGGTTTCTTTGCCTCGCGGTGTGGTTCCTCCGTTGACCGTCCTCTTAATCAGGGCCTTATCCCTCTCTGTAATCTGTAGGGGATCACGACCGATGAAGCTTTTACAATACCTCACCGATCGTTTGTATCCCCTTCTTATTTTTCCCTCCTTCGATTCGGTTCAATGTAACAATACAACGGATTTATTTATTAATGATCACTTGATTGATGATTGATTGATTGGTTACTCCGATTCTGATGCTATATCTCCAGTTCCAAGTGGATTTTTAAAACTTTAAATAGCCAATGCTACTTTCAGGCGATGTTGTAGTATATTTGGAAATTTGCATGTTTGTTCAGTGAATTTTGAGTCTACCATATGATATAGCCCATGTTACCTTCAGGCGATGCTATAATATATCTGGAAATATTTAAGAAAATATGTTTAGCGGTTTCTGAGTCAATAAATTCAAAATTTTATATGGGAATATTTTGTGGTGTTCATATAATTTAAATTTTCAATTAAATTGTTGTTGTTGGTCTACGTTCCTTATTAAAACAATATCCGTATCTGAACCGGTTTCAATGTAAATTGACAAAATTTATTTTTAGACCAACGTCGGTCACACATTCCAAACTTTTTTGAAATTTAACATACGAAGCGTGTTTGGTGCATAAAATAAATAAAATCGGACGAAGAGCTTGATCATCCTTACTTTACCAAAGGATTGTTTGTAAGTCTGATTCGTTTAATATTAGAATATGGTTACATATCATGGAGCAAATGCAGTTTTTAATTTCCGCTTTACGAAACTTAGTCCGCCTTTTAAGAGTCGCCACTTGAAAGTAGACGTAATCTTAAACAATATTTTTATATTTTAGTTTTTGCGACCAATTTTGTGCTGCAAACACCAACATAGGATAAGTATACGTTCTTCAATCGAAGAAGGTACCACAGCCTCAATTCCATGAATCTATGTTTAATTCACATAAGGAGTACAATACGCTATAACATTGCTCAAAACCATGCTGATATGCCATGAATAATATAAAGTTTTGGCAATATGTTTTAAATATGGAAGACTCTCTTATTTGTAAACTCTCAGAAGATCGGCGGTTGTTAGAGTCGTTTTCAAAATTTCGTATGAAATAATATTTTTTTAAGATTTTTTTATAGAATTTTTCATACATTTGAGTGAAAATAACAACAAGTTTTCATATCTTAAATACTATTATTTTTATATTTATAATAATAATAAAAACAATAATAGTAATAATAACTAGAAAAATTATTCAATCTTTCGGCAGCAAAAGTTGAACGCTCATAGCGTATAGTATGAGTGTCAATCAGAGAATTGAATTCGCAAAAGAAAAAAGGTTGTGTAATAAATGCTTAGTAAGTTGTGATATTTCTCAGGAATGCCTTAGTTTTCATTGGTGTATGTTCTGTAAGAAAGAACACTAAACTTCATTTACCAAATAACGTACAAGTGAGGTCTACACTACCAAGAATCGTACAAAGAGATAATCAAAACACACAAATTGGCAAATGTTCTGAAAAAGCTTGTTTCAATATTTGTGGACTGAGTGCCTAGTTCTAATAAAGTGTGTTCTGGCGTGTTGTGAATTTGCAGCAGAAGTTTTAATTGTGCAAAATTTTCATCGATGAAATACTAGTGTGTTGCAGTTTCGAGACAAATGCAAAGTGGACTTATACAGTTGTCGGGGTAGACTGCAAAACAACCCTCCTTGAAAAGCGTGAATTCATTAAGCTTTGTCGGGTTCCAGGACATAGCAACAGAGTGGTTTGATCTAACGAGTGATGAGACTGCCAAACCATCGATATGCTTCAACAAGTTTCTCATCGAAGACTCTGGTAAAAGGTGGCCCTTGGAAAATGTTTGCAATGAATTTAAGACCAACTGGACGGTTTTTTTTAGAGAAGAACAAGCTCCCTAGTAGACATATTGACTGACGACAGCAGTATCCTATATATGACCTCAAAATGGGATAACAGTGTTTCTGACTATTGCACAGTGGTCGAGGTCGTATGGGAACAGCGGCCAAAAATACTTTCAGTGCACATATCAATATGAATCTTTGGTTATGGTACCTTGATGGGATAAAAATAAAAAATGTGACAAAATGGATATGGTCGATGCATGTTTTGGCATGGTCCCCTTACAACGTACCTCCCGAATAAGGGTTATTTGCCCAATTCTTGTCACATTTCTACACCAGATTGTAATGTGATTTGATATTTTACGTTCTAAGGAGTTAAAAAATAATCTTACTGAAAATTATTTGGAACGGTCCGCCTTTACCTGCGGGTCCCCCTGTAGAGATACCTCTTAAAATAGAAGTATTTTTTATATAAATCAATTCCAAATTTGATTTTTGTAAACAAAATAAAATAACAATTCAATATAAAATTAAATCAAAGTTAAATTTTGCACAAATAATTTGTTTGACCCAAGGCCCGATTGAAATTGTATATAATCGGTCATTTAGGTATAGCTCCCATATATATTTTCATCCAATTTGCCTTATATTGTGCACCAAACTTGTATCAGATCAAATAGTATGGAATATACGTGCGACCAGAACTCTGTAACAACGATATTTGGGGAAATATATCACATATAACTGAGAAATACCCTTGCTAAATTTTATCGAGATCGGTAAATATTTGGATATGGCTCCCATATATATCTTCGTCCGATTTGCTTTTTATTGTGCACCAAACGTGTAATATTAGCCCAAATGGAATGGAATTTGGTACTTACGGCCAAATTGAGTCTGGAAACCAGTATGCCAAATTTGGTGGAAATCGATTCAGATATAGCTATAGCTCCCATACATATTGTTCATCCGATTTGTTGAATTTGCTCTGCATAGCCGTAATGTGGACTCCGTAGTAACGATATTCGGGGCAATATATCAAATACAGCTCAGAAATACCTTTGTCAAATTTTATCGAGTTCGGTTCAGATTTAGATATGGCTCTCATATATATCTATCCGATTTCAAGATAATTCTGCACCAAATGGATAATACAAGCCCGAATTGAAAAGGCGCAAACGTCTCGACAAATTTAGTAGAAATCGATTCAGATGAGGATATTCCTCCCATATATTAGTTCCTTTGGACTTTTTATTATTACTATAATCATATGATTTAATTCTTACAAATTCCCCATTAAAAACTTTATTTGTTATGTAAGGCTCTACTAAATATGCAAAGTGGTGTAGGGTAAAATGAAGTCGGCTCCGCCCAACTTTAAGACTTTCTTTACTGGTTATTGTTTGGTAACGTTCGCTGTCCCGTTATAAAAGGGTCAGAGCTCAGAAGAAGACGGTTAATAAGATCTGTGTTTGTTGAAACACGAGACTTTTTTCGGGTATGATTTAGTCGAAACTTTTTTATATCTTTGTTTCTAAACTCCACGGCCTCCTCCTATAATTATCTAATCTATACAATGACAAATTTCTAAAGTCGGGTGCATGTATTAAAGTTTTATGAACTGTGGGTGGAAGATAGTGCCATGGATATCTATTTGTTAATTTTTTAGCAGTTTCCAGTGCAATGGCCTTACATTTTTCAGCATTAATCAGAAGACAATGCTCGCAACATTATTGAACACCCCTCAATTACATCCTTATCAATCCCAAACAACAAAAACATATTCTATGTCACTAGCACCATAGAACTGACAAAATTGCAGCGAAGTCACTTCAGTATATTGGGCATAACATACAAATCTGACAAAATCTGAAAGTTAAATTAGCACTTTTAAAATCGTAGGGCCATTACTAATGGCGTGAAAAGAATCACATTGGAGGATTCAGGGGGGAAAACAATTAAAACTTTACCTGAAATCCAATTTTATTTTCAAAATTAATCTTAAAGGCAACTCAGATCACTCACATTTTCTATATTATACACAACTACTAAACACACAAATTACTGCACTAAAAATAAGTCAATACCTTGCTTTTCAATAATAATGCAAAGATTTGTCGTTTTAAAATGTATTTAATTTTGTAATACAGTTCTATTTTTACTCCAATTTTTCACTGAAAAAAGCAAATACCTACATTTTCTCTTTTTTGATGCTATTCTCGAAGTGGGCCGTTAGAATTAAGTCAATTGTGTTTTCTAAAAAGCTTAACCTCTTAAGAGTTCAGGTGTACACATTTGACAATGAATATCTGATTTTCATTTTTTTATTTTGGCCAATAGCAGCGACCACTGTGTATTGTAGACAATGTGAATATGAAGGAGAGCTGGAGATATTTGAGCACATGTCCCATGTTATTAAACAAAAGACGTTGGCTATTTGGTAGGTGGGAGATAAGAACTCGAACGTTTTTCTCAGACATAGATCCCACCATCATCTGTTTTCTAAGAGCATTTCCTGGCTAGTAAAACCATCCTGCTAACTATTCTCTCTACAACATATTTATCTTTCCCGTTATTACCATCAAAAACATTTTTCTTCCCAGGCTGAAGCTGCGCATCCTTAAACCAAACTGGATCAAAATTGAGTTTGTTACCGATGCTGACAATTAATATTTCGGGCTTGGGAAATATCATGGTAAAATAATAAGGAAAAATCATTTCAAAAATACATATTCATCTATGAATTTTCTGAAATTTACAACGTCAAATTTCACTGCATCTGTGATACACATTTTGACAATATTTATGTATGTATGTTTATTGACCAATATCGACGAAAAATTTGGATTTCTGGAGTTTATGTGAGATTCATTGGAATGTCAATGCCCAACAAAAATTGATTATTGAGACGTAATTAATTCACCCCTTTGCAAAAATACTTCTGGATTTCTTTGTTTAAATTTAAATGTTTAAATGTACCTACAATATATTCTTCATTAATTATTTATCTATCATTTATTTCAATTAGTTATTAGTTATTAGGAAACGCCTCTAAATACGAGTATAAATATATATATATTCATGATCAGCATAAAATTTCAAGTCGATTTAACGATCTCCGTCTGTCTGTCAAAATCACGATACAGCCCATATTATTTGACGTAGAGCTTTTAAATTTGGCACAGTATCTATAATGAGATATATCGGTCCACGTTTTGGGATAGCCCACATTTAAAGAAAGCTCCCGATTTTCGGTATTTAAATAGTTTTAGCCAAATTTTTCCACCAATTTGTCTAAAAATTGGTATTTGTAGCTTCAGTGGAGGAACATTGTTAATAGGTTGTCGTATATCCCCAATATAAGGGTACCTCCCGAAATTCCACGGATTTGTCTAAAAATTGGTATTTATAGTTTGCTCCGGTGGCAGAATATTGAATATCTAAGTCCAAGTTTTACTAAAGCGCACATATAACGGTACGTTCGGATATTCGGTATTTTGATGATTTAAGCCACATAT